TCACCAACCCGATTATAGCCCCGGATATCGGCTTTTCGTCTTCACACTTTGGTGCAAAAGCACCTCCGCCACGAAAAGGCAGTGAGTAGGACTTTATCAGCAGAGGCTATTTGAGACTCTTGGTCGTACGGGAGCATTTCGCGAGGTGTAAGGGAAGGGTAACCAACCACAACTCAAGACACCCACCCCCCAGGAGGCTTTCGGAGGAGTGCTATTTTAAATGACTCTAGACAATATTTTTCCAGAATGCATTAGACTAATTGCCTTGTTCCGAAGGTTAGATCATTAGTTATTTGCACCTCGAATGTGTATTCCTCCACCTATTTACAGTCAACATTCCCCGAAATCTGATTGTTCGGGCAAGCGTTTCTCAAGTGTTTGACGTGTGAATTGTTGTTAGGACTCTACAATAACTCTGCATTGATTTTAAGTGATTCAGTTTTAAAGGATTTTTGAATAACGTCGGTTTTCGCTGTGGTTCCGATCGGTCATCTTGGTTTTCATTTATCTAGATGGCGCCAAAGTTGGGTTTGAACTTTTGAAGAACTTCTTTGTTCGAAATCTCAAATCATTTTTGGTTCACTGTTACTCACTTTTTTCATAGGATTTCCGTATTACTGATTACGGTGTCTGCTACCTATCCGACATGCTTATGGAAGTCTCTGACAGTGCGGTTGAGATCAGTCAAGTGAATGGTGACACGGTGATCTCGTTGCCGAAACGTGTCCAAACCATGGAGGAACGGGAACGGACCGAGTTGTTCGCAATCGAGGTGGCCGATTTGTTGTGCCAGTCGCCCCGGTGTCGTTTACCATTTAACAAGTTCATTCCATCCTATCATCATCATTTTAGCCGGCAATGCCGTGTTGCGGACTACGGATTTACTAAATTGATCGATCTCTTGGAAGCGGTCCCAAATGTGGTTCAGGTGAGTTAGTAATTCGGATGAGGTGAATCCTGCTGAGAAAATTTGATCAAATTCAGTGATGGGTAGAAATCAAAAGGTACAATCAAACCTCTTTGTTTCATATTTTCATGGAATGGTGTGCAATGACCGAATAATAGTTGTTCAGTTCAGTTCAGTTCAGTTCAGTTCAGTTCAGTTCAGTTCAGTTCAGTTCAGTTCAGTTCAGTTCAGTTCAGTTCAGTTCAGTTCAGTTCAGTT